AATATTATTAAATAAATTTAAAAGTCCGATTAGTTAATGAGTAAAGTAAGCTACTGTATTTTGCTAAGATTTGTATTAAACTGTATTATGCTAGGCCTTCATACAATAAGTCTACCTTTCTCCTCCTTAAAAGAATATGTAGAAAAATTATAGATTAATAAGACACTTTTAATTGGTCTTCTATTTACGTAGTATTACCTACAATAAATAAATCTAAGAATTCTTATCTCTCAATGGGTTTTCTATTTGCAAACCTACCTGTGTTAGCAGTCTTGCATTCAATAATATATCTCATTTATACATGACTTACATTGCCAAACTAACTTGGTAATAGTAAATAATGAATCTATGCTTTGGATTGATCTCCTAATGATTTCAAATTTTATGAATTTATTATATAATTCACAAAAATTATTATTTTTTAAGAATATTTTACAAATTATAAAATTTATTTCGACTGAATCTGTAAATTCACTGATAATAAAACCAACATAAGAATTTTGGAAGATCCTAGAATCTCATGCCTCATATTCTCTTATGATTGAGACTGAAACAATATTAAATATGATTAAGATCTTAAGAGGAAAAAAAAAAAAAAAACTTTTTTCATATTAAATTAACAACGACTTGATTGTATAAGACATTTAGTAAGATAAAACGACATTGATTAAATTAGATTTTAGAAGTTAGGATTTTGATCAAAATATTTTATTTTGATAATATCTTATAAATCATTCGATGATAAAATATTAAGATTAAAAATTATAAAACGAGCCTCACAAAATAATCATCATGTGTCAATTTATGATTCTTTTATTAGTTAAATTTTGATTTAATATTTTTTTATTAAAAAAAAAAAACTTACAAAAAAAATAAAATTATTAATACGATAAGATCTATCGGAACATAAAAATGATAAGGTGCCAAAAAAACACATCCAAACAAACATATTCTCTCAAACAAAAAGCAATCTCGCATCTTTTTTTTTTAAAAAAAAAAAAAAAAAAACAACTGAACAGGGAATCTCAATGAACTTTGGTAAATGAATATAATTAATGTTTGTATATGTAATATATTTATGAGCTTAATGAGAATGAGTTGTTGGGTCTTTAAATCAGATTAGTTGCTGTCATTGATGAAGCCCAAGTTTTCCATTTAATGGGTCACTTTGAAATTGCCCAATTTGGTTAATTATATCACAACCTCATTACAAATTGAATCTTGCTCCACCTACTTACACCTTTTTAATATATATATATATATATATATATATTTTTTTTTAATTAATAAAAATATATATTTATTTAGATTGATTTTCTTTTTAAAATTATTCAAGAAATTCACCAAATGTGGGCCCAATGGAGCCAGCTGTTGTAAATTGTAATTGCAAAAACAAGTTTGAGATTTGAAAATTTTATGAGGCCTCATTGGCCCATTCATTCCTTTGATTGGCTCTTGGCTTTTTGTAAAGGAAATTGGTCTCATCATTTCTTAGACTTTATGGTCTTCTTTTTTCTGGCATCATTGCGGAAATGTTTTTCCATCTCAATCCATGCCCTACACGTGGCACAATCATGTCCCTAATCAACACATTTGCTCATCTCAACACTCTCATATAAAATCTCATGTTCCAAACACTACGTATTTTTCTAACACTGCCTTTTCCAAATATGCGTACGTGTATTTTGTGGTAAAACCCAAAAAATCATATAAAATCTCCCCCTAATGTACTTTTCTAATTTACTGACTATAAATAAAATTTTCCTTTTTTTTTTTTTAATAAAAAAAATTATAAATGTTATACCAATTTATCATTTTCTACCATCTATCAACAAGTTTATGATAATAATAACTAATAAAAATAAGATAAATATTATGATATATGCTTAATATGTTTTAAAAAAATATGTTATATAAAATTAAAATGAATAAATTCAAAACTAACTATAACAGTGATACTAACAACAGTAAAGATCATGGTGAAACAACTACGACGGCAACGCACTTTTATAATTGATTTTATTTCGACTAATTATGAATTTATTATTTTTTATAATTTCAACCGAATATTTTTAATGATTTTAAGTATTTAAGTGTGTTACTAAAATATAACGTATTATTTTTCTAAACTTACTTGATATTATAAATGATGTTTTATATCATAACTAATTTAATTTTAACTCGTTCGAATGTAATTTAATATTATTTTTTCATTAAAATAAGATTTTATATCAGATTAAGTTCAAGTTAATACAAAAATGATGAATAAGTGAGGCAGATTAAGGTTTGGCCTTTCAAAACCCATATGAACCTCACTACTACATATATGTTCTTAAATTTTTTATTATTGTAAATATGTTTATATAGTATATTATATTAAAAACTACGTTATATTTATATTGATAAATATAATTATAACAGTATATTATTACACATATTAATAAATATATTTTTAATTTTTTAATTAAAAATATAATTTTATTAATATAATAAAATAAACGAGTCGAAATAAGATAACGTGACTCGTAAATCCAACATAGTTGAAAAATTTAAAAAAAAAAAAAATCAGAAACCGCCCTTGAGCTTGTGAGAGATTCGAGTTTTCTCTTCATAAGGGTAAGTTTCGTCCAAACTTTGAAATTTGAGTTTGCTATTCACTGCGAGATCATGCTCACTTTAGGTCATCACTAATATATTTCTTGATATGATGTATTAAAATTTAATAATAGTATTAAAGTTTTTCTATAATTATAATAAGATAATTTAAGCACACTTATTTTTTACAAATTTAATTTTTACGATGTATAATCCAACTATTTTTCTTTTTCAAAAAGTTAACTTAGAAATTGAAACAAAAAGAATAATTTGAAATTCAAGCTTGAAGACCATCCACGAGGACATCATGTTGGTTAAGAGATCCATGAAGAGAGAAAATTATTCCATTCTAAGTAGCTGTTAGAATAGTGCGAAATCAGTGCCCAAATTACAATAATCGAAGACATCGATGTCAACATTCTTTTTAAATAATTTGAAGTGGTATGTAATAAAGTTTATGCAATATATGATTGCAGTAATATGCAATATTTGGAGGTGGGAAAAAAAACTTAGATTCAAGAGAAATTGGTGGGTAGAGAGATTTATATAGTGTTTGAGTGATTGAACTTACTGAAATTTTAAATTTAAATATTCTGAAAATGACTTCGGAATGAATGTCTAAATTTTCATCCCAAGTAAGTTTAGTATGTATGAAATTTAATTTAATTTTATTTGTCAATCATCAAAAACATTCAACCAAAACAAATTTCTATTAAAAAAGCTTCCCGACATTTTCTATCTTTTTGAAATTTTTTTATTATGCCAATACCAAATCAAATTTATCCAACAAACCATAAATAAATCATCTTAGTTTAAAGTTTTTTAAGAATGTTCATTGAAGATATTGACAAATGAAGATTTAATTTTATAATTCATAAATTTTAATCACAAATAATTAAAAAATAAAAGACAAATCTATTTTCTAATTAGAAACAAAAAATACTTTATCACCTTCCAATAAAAATAATCACTTGAATTGATTTAAGCACTACACTAATAGTTGAGATAAAAAAATCTTACACGAATTGATTTAGTTTGTACTAGTATATAGCTTATATATATATATATATATATATATATATATATATATAAATTGGGAAATTTCTCGGCATGGAAAATAAGTAATTTAATTTGAAATCTCGAATAATTGTTTACAAAAAAAAAAAATAATAATAATAATTGTTTAGTAAGTTGTAAAGACAATAAGTGAATAAATTAGAAGTAAGTAAACTTTATTGGGAAGTATAAAGCAATGACTAGATTCAAAGAGAGGCTGGGGGAGGAGGGTTTGAATATGGCTTCAAACACAAATTTTGGGAAAGAAAAAACAATGAAGAAGAAGAAGAAGAAGATGTAATGGGTTAAATGGTATTTGGTGGGATTTTTCAAAGGCAATTCTCTCAAGGGGGATGCTTGTGTCGTCTGGTCAAACACTGACCCAGAACAACTGGTGGAATTCATTAAATTCCTAGGTTGCCCTTTTATGTCCACATTCTCAATAAAAACCCACATGAACAACAAGTCACAAATGGAAACCAGTTTCTCTCTATCTATATATATATGTGTGTGTGTGTAATATATATATAATATATATATATATATATTTAAAAATAATATATCTAAATCTTCTAAAAAAGAATTTTTTTTTTTAATTTTTAAAAAAGGAAGAAACAGACAAGAAGCCCCCTTCCCCACAAGACCCACAAACAAGACCCCAACAACTTGAAAAGAGAAGTGAAAAATAAATAAACAAAATAAAGGCAGGAAACAACGAAAGGGATACCCCCTCTTCTCTGCGCGTGCTCTTCACTCTCCAATCAAGCGCCACTCGCCTCCTGTCTCAGCTTACTGCTTTCGTACGTGGGACACTGGTTTTGCCTTCTTCTGCCAGTTACCATCAACCCTCGCTCCTGCCTCCTCCCCCAGGCGCACACTCTTCGCGCGTCTCAGCGCGTTCACTCCTCTCTCATGTCTTCCTCACTCCTTAATTTTCTCTTTTGCCCACGATGTTCATTTCCTTTTCTACTCTCTCCCTGTCTGTCTTTGAACTTTCTTCTCTGAACGGCTAAAAAGACTGACCAGTGAACCCAGAGAAAACCGCACCTCCAAACTAAAACTTAACAAACACTCGCCAGATCGTCGGAGCAGGCCATGGAGACTTTCCGGGAAACGCAAATCCGGCCACCCCGGCGGATTTTCCCGGCTGAGTGCAACTCAAGGCTCCGTCCTTTCACTACGAAACTATGAGCTGAACTAACTTGTCGTGAAACCCCTTTAGCAAAAGAGCCGAATAGTTGCGAGGAAACGCCTCAAAGTCCTTTTCTTGCCCTTCACTTGGGTCCCTGCAATGGCGGCCACCAACACCACCACGTCGCAACCGCAACCGCCGGTGGACTCGGTCTCGGCCGACGAGCTGGCGGCGAAAGCCGTGCACAAGCGGTACGAAGGGCTGGTGATGGTGCGGACCAAGGCTGTAAAGGGCAAAGGGGCCTGGTACTGGGCTTACCTCGAGCCCATGCTGGTTCATAACACTGATACAGGACTCCCCAAAGCGGTCAAGCTCAAGTGCTCCCTCTGCAACGCCAATTTCTCCGCTTCGAACCCATCTCGCACCGCCTCTGAACACCTTAAACGCGGCACCTGTCCGAATTTCAACTCAATGGCGAAACCCATTTCCTCTATCTCCCCATCCTCCCTGGCTTCTCCTTCTTCTCATCACCATCAACACACCAGCCGCAAACGTAGCTCTTCTTCTTCCGTTACGGTCACCGCCACTGCTGTCACAATTTCCCCGCCTCCACCACCCGGTGGCGGTACCTATCAGGTGGCGCCGTTGGCTGTCGTAGATCCCTCGAGATTTTGTGGCGGAGAGTTAGCGTACCCCACAGTGGCTGCTGTCAGCGGTGGTGGTGCTGCCGGGGCTCTGCTGACGCAACAGCCGCATTTGATGCTATCAGGTGGCAAGGAGGATTTAGGTGCTCTGGCTATGCTCGAAGACAGTGTGAAGAAGCTCAAAAGTCCTAAAACATCGCCCGGGCCAACTTTGAGCAAGACCCAGATAGAGAGTGCTCTCGATTATCTTGCCGATTGGGTCTATGAATCGTGCGGGTCGGTTTCTTTTTCCAGTCTTGAGCACCCAAAATTTCGAGCTTTTCTTAACCAGGTTGGTTTGCCAGTGGTATCAAGAAGAGAGTTCGCTGGGAGTAGACTGGATGCTAAGTTTGAGGAAGCCAAGGCAGAGTCCGAGGTGAGAATCAGGGACGCCATGTTCTTCCAGATTGCGTCTGATGGGTGGAAAGTGAACAACTTTGGTGGCAGTGGTGAAGTGAATTTGGTAAACTTGACAGTGAATTTGCCTAACGGGACAAGTTTGTATAGGAAGGCAGTGTTTGTTAGCGGCTCTGTTCCTTCGAAGTATGCAGAGGAGGTTTTATGGGAGACAATATCTGGTATTTGTGCCAGTGGTCTGCAGCAGTGTGTAGGGATAGTTGCTGATAGGTTCAAGAACAAGGCTTTAAGGAGTTTGGAGAATCAGCACCATTGGATGGTTAATCTTTCTTGTCAGTTTCAGGGGTTTAACAGTTTGATTAAGGACTTCAACAAGGAGCTACCTCTGTTCAAAGCTGTCACTGAGAATTGCTTGAAGCTTGCCAATTTTGTTAACAACACTACCCAAGTTCGAAATACATTTAACAAGTATCAGTTACAGGAGTACGGTCATGCAGAGTTGTTAAGAGTTCCTTTGCGTGATTATGAGCAAGTGAATTTTAGACCTGTATATACATTGCTTGAGGATGTACTAAATTCAGCGCGAGCCCTTCAGTTGGTTCTGGTTGATGAAGTGTATAAGGTAATGTCCATGGAGGATCCTATGGCAAGGGAGATAGAAGAGATGATTCGAGATGTGGGTTTTTGGAATGAAGTGGAGGCAGTGCTCTCATTGGTTAAAATGATCAAGGAAATGGCTCAAGAGATTGAGACAGAGAGACCCTTGGTCGGCCAATGCCTGCCACTCTGGGAAGAGCTAAAAGCAAAAGTGAAAGATTGGTGTTCCAAGTTTCATGTTGCAGAAGGATCAGTAGAGAAAGTAATTGAAAGGCGGTTTAAGAAGAATTACCACCCTGCTTGGGCTGCTGCATTTATACTTGATCCCCTTTATTTGATTAGGGATACTAGTGGGAAGTATCTTCCTCCCTTCAAATGCTTGACGCCCGAGCAAGAAAAGGATGTTGATAAACTTATAACAAGGCTTGTTTCTAGGGAGGAGGCTCATATTGCGTTAATGGAGCTCATGAAGTGGAGAACAGAAGGGCTTGATCCCGTATACGCACGAGCTGTGCAGATGAAAGAGAGAGATCCCATAACCGGAAAGATGAGAACTGCGAATCCACAGAGCAGTAGGCTTGTGTGGGAAACTTATCTTACAGAGTTTAAGTCCCTAGGGAAAGTTGCAGTTAGACTTATCTTCCTTCATGCAACTTCATGTGGGTTCAAATGCAATTGGTCTTTGTTAAGATGGATTAATGCTCATGGGCATTCAAGAGCGGGTATGGAGAAAGCTCAAAAATTGGTTTTTATTGCAGCTTACTCGAAGCTTGAGAGACGTGATTTTTCTAGTGAAGAAGAGAAAGATGCAGAGCTGTTGGCATTGGCGAACGGTGAGGATGATGTGCTAAATGAAGTTCTTGTTGATACATCCTCAGTGTAACATTTTTTCTAGTCCTTTAGAAATTTATATTTGTAGGATTTATTGAATTCTTTTCACTACTTTTTTTTTTGTTTACCACGTGTTTACTTACTCGTTAGAAGATTTATAGGGAAGTCAGGTGGGAGAAAAATGAGCATTGGTAGGTGATTGAATATTGTATTCCCACCGTTGCTCGGAGCAATTTCTCATCTTTCACCCTAGCATGAGTTTTGGAGTTTTTTTTTTCTGTTTGAAGGAACAAAACAAAAAATCTTCTTGTTTGTAGACATTAGCGTCAAACAGGAAGAACATTGTAAAATTGTTGTTCATCTAGTATTTTGGATAAATAATACTACTACCTATAAAGGGGAAAATTTTACGATTTCTCCTTTGTTTTTCAAGATCGAAATTTCTTTATCGCCTTTATTCTGAATTTTACCATCAATTAGTCAGATTTCATACTGTTATCTTCACTGTACTCTTGATTGTTATACCAATTGTTTGGCATTTTATCTAACTTCTCTTTGCCTCCCTGGTTTTGGAATTAGCATTTCCAGATTTACATGTCTAGGGGCTATGTAGGTTTCTCAAACAGGATGTTGGATACTTCATTCTTAAGCTTCATTTAGAACTTTACAAGTAAAGCGTAGTATTTTTCTCGCAACCCAGTTGTTATTTTATGTAGTTTTCACCATTATTGTTTGATAGATGAAGTTATTCATTGCCAAAGCATAAGCTACCTTTTTGCCTTAAAAAAAGCTCATTATATATACATATATATATATGTATGTATATTTAAAGTCCAGTGAACGTGAACTTTGATTAAAGTATAGGATTTTGGCTGCTTGTTTTCAACTTCGTTGCCATGTGGATCCCTTGCTCAATCTTCCCATGATTCCATCCCCAGAAAAAATCTTTTTCTGTTCTTTTTTTGGTATCGAATTTGGACATCTTGTGGTCCTCTTATAAACAAGTCAAGGTCACAAAACTATAGTTAGGGGGTTTTCTGAATTAAGGTCCAGTTTTTGCAACAAACATAGCCAAAGGCATCGACTTTGCTCTATCAATGCCATGTAATAACATAACAAATTCTGCCTCTTTACATATTTGTCTCTTCTCTATGTTTTCTGATTGTAGGAACCCGAATAACATTCATTCCATCGGGAACTGCTTATACTTTTGTTTGGAATTGTATGATTGTTTTGTTTGAAAGTTTTGGTGGTCCAGACCATTTAACTATTGAATTTGCGGAAGAGGGCATGTTTAACAAGTTAGATGTTGTAGGCTTTTGATGAAATGAATTGTGAGAATAAGAATTATACTGACTTTAATCCGTATGTATTTTTTATGGCAGAAGCATACGGGAAAGGTATTATTGTTGGGGTGGAGAGACCGCGACCACCATAAGCTTGGTGGGTTAGTAGTGATGTCGAAACATGAATGCAGATTACGTGGAAACTTTTGGCTAGGCGCTGTTGTTTTTTCAGTCTGAAAAAGGCCAGAGGATTCCTGGAACTGGTAATGCTGATGGGTTATTTGCAAAGCTTTCTGGTAACTGCTTTCTATCATGATCTGATCTGATCTGGTCGACATATCTCCTGGTGTGAGTGAGACCCACCATGAATGAAGTGGAGGTCGTTTTCAAAGCTGAGAGATGAGAGGAGGGTTTTCCATCAAATCATCTTTGTTGGATAACTTCTCTTTTAAACATTCCAAATCCAGCTCGTGATGTTCATTCAGAGTCATTGCCCGCCCCGCCCCCCTCCCACTCCCATGATTGTGAGAAAGGTGTTTAGAGGACCCTATACAATGCCAACTATGTCGGCTTCAAGCACCACACTCATCTTCTTCTTCATTTATATCTTCCTACAAGCTTCTCATTGTCTCTCATTCTCCAATCAACTTAAAAATCACTTGCTACTTGCTATTTCATTCATTCATTTTTTCTTTTCAGTCAATTGCAATTTCTTCTTGTAATCTTTCAAGCCATCGGAATGAATTTACACGAGTGAAGACCTCGTGATTATTCTTTGAACTTGCCAGTTTATTTAGTAGATTTTTAGTGCAAAAATGTATTCTCTTCTGATTCTTGAGCTTAAGAAGCTAAAAGTCTTGTGAATTTGGCTTGGCATTTAATGTTTGTTTGATGGGAGAAAAGTGTCCTTTAAGGGTATTATGTAAAAGAGTTGGAACAAAATTGCGTCACTTTTTCTACTTATAATTCAATAGTGTGTGTTGTTATTAGCACACAATAGCTTTTTGGTTTTTTTTTTTAATGGTAAATATGATGCAATATTTTCATTAATTTAAATCCAACCTATTCTTCATTGTAACACATACGTGTGTGTGTGTATATATATATATATATATGTATGTGTATACTCACACAAAAAGCACTAACCCAGTTGGGTATCATTTTCACTCATCATATAAACAAACCTCTCCTGAAAGCACTTTTGAGCTTTTGCACCAAGTCATAATCTTTGTCTGGGTGTATAGATGGAATTAGATTCAACCTACCCACTGTAACACACAGTAAAAAGGGGTTAAAAATGAAGGAAACCCTAAAGTGGAGTAATAACTTTTTGGAGAGGGAAAATAAGTATAAGATTATTTACCAATCCACTAGACCTTTTGGTCTCCTAATTACTCATTTTAGTGGTGAGACAGAATTTGTTGTCGGCAACCCTCACTTATGCTGACTACTCACCAAACTAATCTACTACTACTACTACTACTATTATTATTATTATTATTATTATTATTATTAATAATAAATTAAACCCTTTTCAAATATTCAAAAAAAAAAAAACCCTGTTCTCACTCGTATGGTATTATTTATATTTACTTCGCTCCACTCATTTTTTTGGGTTAAGAAAAAAAAAAAAAAAAAAAAAAGATGTTAAAGGCAAAAGAAATATAATGATTAGTATAGGACGACACTTTCTTTATACAAGAATCTTTCCCTCGTCCAACGCTCTCCTACTCATTATCATACGAATTTACTTTTTTTTTTTTTTTAAAAAAAAAAAAAATGATTATACATAGATATTCTAATTATGTATTTCTACGTGGGTATTGAGAAGGAAAGGAAAAAAAAAAAAAAGAATCATTCTTGCCAATAAATACAAAATGAACATTTGTGGAAACCTTGGAATGGAAATTAACAGACAAAAGGTGTTGATATTAAAGTATTGCTGAAGCAAAATATGAAAGACTTAAATGATGTTGACCATGCATAATTCTATGACACCATAATTTCCTCCATATCCCAAAATGGTCCATTTTTTTGTCTCGGCATTTCCGTGAAATTTCAACAATCAGAATTAATCCAACCCAAACTGTATGATTTTCAATTTTCTCACTTCCATTTTAAATTATTTTCTCAAGTTAAATTTTATGCACAATCCTCTCAATTACTAAAACCCAAACATATATTTCATGTATATTAATTAGCAATAGTGATATTCTCTAGTGTTATCACACTTTTTCAAGAAACCCTATAATTAAATGGATTATTTCTAATTTATAATTTTGTATAATTTGGTTAATTTCACTTTGATGCCCGTGAATTTTTATGGACCACATAATTTTCTTCCTTGAGGGGGAAAAAAAAAAGACAAGTAGAATATATTTTTGTAGAGAAACAAAGGGAATACTTTCCTTGTGGAAAGAAAAATACATAGTCTACTTTAGATTTCACATGTTATATCATTATATTATTATACCCAATTTGCTATATATGACTAATCTCAACCCAAAAGTTATTCTCTCCTTCCTACCACATACCCTAATTGGATTTGTTAGTGTACTAGTCTCTATAATTTGAACTTTTTTCTTTTTCGTTTTTTTTTTAAATAAAAATTAAAAAGAACAAGTATTATGACATGAAAAAGAAAATTATCATGCATTTTTTTTATATAAAATGAAAAATATTTGGTATGCATGAAAAACATACCCACTAAATAATTATTCACATCCTTTATTTATAAAGCCTACTTTCTAAAATGTTCAAAAATATTCTAGATATTTTTGGTTAACAAGGAATCCAAAGTTTTATTTTCTTTTTTCAATAACAAAATATTTATACGTTGATAGAAATTCAACTCTTATTTAAAACACTATCAAACTCTTAGTGAATGATCATATGAGCTTAAAACACTAAAAAAGAATATTTATTAACGAAATATTGTTAATAGAAAGTGAATATTTTTACTAACAAATCCAATAACATAACACAAAATTGTATGACGCAGTTTAACATTGTTAAAAAGTGGTATAAAATGAATTAAATATTTACATTATGATAAACGTTTTACAGTCAAAATACATTGTGAAATATTTTGAAAAAATACATTAAATACATTTTATCTCATTTAGATCTGATGACATTTCTCAAAAAAATTGATCTTAATATTAAGCAAAATGTTTGTATAACTGTTTTACAGTTAAAATTTAATTCTACATCATAAATTTATATTTTAGATTATAAAAAAAAAAAGTAAAAAATATTTAATTTGATTATACTTGAAAATTAACTTAGAAATTTAAAAATATATATTTTATCCAAACCTTTATAATATTTTATAATTTACTTATATTAAACTACTCTCAAAATACACCAAAAGAATAAATAAAGCGAGAGTGTATAATTGATGATAATAATGTGTTTGATGAATAATTAGGCACTTGCATGATTAGGTTACTGTAACCCAGACACGTGTCGCCCTTATATCATTTTTAATATTTATCTCCGTACGTAAGGTGGGACCACCATAACTAATACAGAAAATTTCTCTCTCTTTTTTTAATATTTTTTTAAAAGTCATAAGTAGAGGTATCAAAGCCGTCCATATATGAGAGTTGTGTGGTCCCCTACAGAAGGGGACCACGTGTACGGTCAAGATAGAGTGTACCAACATGGAGTCCTCGATGTCGGCACATCATCGTATTAGATACCAACTTGCCAGGACATTCATTAACACGACGCCGTTGGCTTAACTCTTTTGACATCTTGCCTCCGTCCGCCTTGTCCGAAGCAAATGTTGCCTTGGCATTATCAATCTTCAATTATTTTCTCCTTAAATTAATTAATTAATTAAATTCCCAACGTCCCGCCAAAGTTGACACTTCATTTGAATCAAACAAAACTTTCAGGGGGGAAAAAAAAGAAAAAAAAAAAAAAAAACATAAACTTGAGTCGTAATATTCCTCGTCACGCGGTCAACTACTGTTGTTTAATGATTCATAGGATTCATCTTATTTGTCAATGTCCGTACGCATGACGTCACATATTCCTCTTGTATGACATCATTTCAAGATCTTTGATTTTCAGTGTATATTATAATGTTTGGCCATCAAGGTAGATCACATGTACATATTTTTGTAATTTTTTTTTTAGTATTACATTTAAATAAATTTGACCGATAATGTAAAATCTTAGGTTAATTTTTAATTACTCAATGATCTAAGATGGGACATATTACACAGTTTATTCTATATATATATATATATATATATTAATATTATTATACTTTATATTTAAGAAGTTCCAAGATGTATATATAAGGAGGAGGCTTTTTTTTTTTTTTTTCTTTTAAAAATATATCATATGGAACCAGATCCTAGAAATCGGGAGGGGGAAATTACTTGACGAGACATGGAAAAAAATTGATTTAAAAGAAAGAAAACAACTTCTTTACGTACGAAAAATGAGTATTAAATAATAATATTTGTGATAAAGATAATATTTAATACAATAAAAAATAATTTATATTATAAAATATATTTAATTAATAATTACCTTAAATAATATTCATATAAAAGATATCTTAGTTGAAAGTTAGGCTATGTTTGATATTTATGTAGAGTATAATAATCACATAAATATGGTTATTCATAAATAAAATTCTTATTATACTATATTTGAGTAAAGAATGAGTCATATAATATAGGTAATCATACTAATTATTTTTATACCATATTAATACTCTTAATGATAGTAACAATCACAATTACAACAATAATGATTGTTATAACAATAACATTAATAGCAATAATATAACGATAGTGTTAAAAATGATAATAACGACAACAATAAAAATAATAATGATAGAGATAATAATAGTAACAATACCAATGATAATGATGATATTGACAAAAATAGTTTGCAGATGAGACAATGGTATTGACTTTAAAGTAGTGATAATGATAACAATAATAATTATATTGATAGTAGTGAGAGTAAACAATAGTGGTAAAAGCAATTTAAAGGGACGATGGTAGTTACAAACAATGTCAATGATAGTGGTAGTGGAGTTTAAC